TTTTTTTTTTTTTTTGGAGATTTGGCGGAGACGCTACCAGTGCTTTCTGTAGTGTCTTCAGGTTGCAAATAGGTCCTAGCTTCATCGTGATCTTCACCTGCTGTTGGCAGAGGATTTCGTCATGGGAAGAGCTCTATAAATTGCAGTTATGGTTGATAGATTTTATGGAGGAAAAATCGGGAGCCTCTACATGTACGGTTGCCTCTACAACTATTTGGATTTGAAATATGCAAAAAAAAAAGGTCAAAAAAGAATCAGTTTATGACCAAGCACAAACCCAACAGTAAAAAATAGTCCAAAATCAGTTATTGCCTGGCCCAATTGGTATCTAATCATCCCCTAAATGATTTACTTCCATATATTTGGGATTGATGGACTGGCCCGGATCCCGGATTGCATGAGATTTTGTATATACAACAATATATCCAGAGGATATAATTTGCGTGAACAAGTCAGAGACCAATGAATTCGCCAAAACATTTGATTCACATGTGGATAAAAAGATTTGATTCTAAAAAATCAATATAAAGGCTATGATACCACTTGATGAAATTAACTTTAGGAGAAAACCATCTCTATAATCCAAAAGCGTTCATATTGAATAATTAAGAAACATAACTGAATAGCGGAAGCATGCATGAATCCAGAAGCGTAGCTACATAGTGCTTAGTGTGGGCCTAGGCCCACACTGAAAAGGAAAAAAATACTATGACTAAGACTTAAAAAAATAGATTAATAACTCATTAACAAAGTAATTATACAAATTAAGAAACAATACCAACGAGGACACAAAAGAACAAGATGGAGATAATGAAAAATACATATACTTATTAATTTTGGTGGTAGTAAATATAACCTTTTCTTTTTATTAGATTTGAATGAAAAAGTTACACACTTTTTCATGTTTCTAGCATTCTTGTAGTTAATTGATTGTTGTATCTTAATTATTTAAAATATTAATATTAGATATAGTAATGTGTAAGGCTCTTAAAAATTTGATATATTAGATGAAACATTTTATAAATTATAATTTGTTTTTCACTATCATATTCTGGTGAAAGATTTTTAGAAAATGTCTCGACAAAAAGGCGCATGTGAAAATGTTAACAAATGCGCTACTTTCAATCTAAAATTACTTGAGGTGAATTCTAATATTGTTGGGCAGAAATAAAATGCGATTAAAAATACAATGATATTATTATACAACAAAATTGTCTTATAAATACTAGTAAGAATAAATATAAATGTGTGTTTTTGTATATACTTTCATATGAATAAGAATAAATATGCAGGCGATTTGAAATAAAAATAAAAATAAATTAGGCCCCCACTCAGTTTACAAAGAAGGAGGCCTAAAACGAGAGCTAGGCTAACATACGCAGGTACGACACCTCAATGATGCTGTGCTCGAGCCACATGCCCAACTTTTTTATATATATATGATCTTCGAATTCGTACGCTACCTATTTATCTGACTCGCAAGTCGCAACTCGCGTCAAAATCTGTATGTTTGCATTTGTGAACTGATAAAGCCAAAGCATTTACATCTGAAGTAATCATCTCCTTTGCCTTTCTGTCCAACGATCGACCTTTTTCACTTTCCCATTTCAAGAATTTATCTCCAAGTAAGTGGAATTTTGAAATCTCAACACGCTGCTCTTTCACTGGAGAAACGTTAAACTTGACTCGAATCTACTGTTAGAGTTGCTCATTCATTGCAAAAGATTTCGTTTTGGAATCTCGCGACTGTCGAGCTTCAGCTGCTGAGTTCTTGAAGGAAATTTCTTCCAATTCGCCATGGATGAGTAAGTGATTTGATAATTGTGGATCTTTCTTTAGCTCTAATGGCGAAGTATGCTGCTGCATATGTAATTGCCAATTTTCACTAGCGGTTGACTCAATGTTACTTTATCTGGAACTCTGATTGCAGATTCTTAGTTAGTAGATTGATTCTAAGTAAATTCCAGTCATCATGATGTGGTGGTTATTAAATTTGAAGCTTCAATCAATATAGATATTATGTGATCTTTTAATTGAAAGCCAAGAGTTGTTATCTTACTAAATACAGGGAGAATGAAGTTGAACTTTTGCAAAGATATCGACGGGACAGGCGGATACTCCTAGATTTCATACTTTCTGGTAGCTTGATCAAGAAGGTTGTAATGCCACCGGGTGCGGTGTCATTGGATGACGTGGATCTGGATCAAGTCAGTGTCGATTATGTCCTCAACTGCGCCAAGAAAGGTGATAACTTTGGATAGTTTAGTTCTCCTCCTTTGTCCTTATTAAGTAAAAGTTGAATAGCTGACAAAGTGATATCGCTTTCCTGTTTTGGTACTTGTAAATGTAGGTGATATACTTGAACTCTCAGAGGCTATTCGGGACTACCATGATGGCACTTTTTTCCCCAGCATGGTAAAGATCGAATTTTACTGAATCCCAAAGCACATTAACCTCTTTGTTTTCGCAGATTTATTTGATTATTTCAGTTTGCTTGTTGATGATATGACTTATCTTCTTATTCCTGGCATCTTTGCACATGTAGAACCAAATTATTTCCTATCTATCTTTTAACACTTCAACTTCGTTTTGCATTATGTTAAATTTGTACAGAGGAGTATAATAACAAAATGGTATTCTCTTTTAACTTTTTGCTGTTACTTCAAAAAAGAATAATGCAGGTTCCTCAGATGAATTCTTTCTAGTCACAAATCCTGAATCTTCAGGTTCTCCTCCACGAAGGGCACCCCCATCTGTCCCTGCTGTGGCCCCAACACCAATTTTGTCGAGCCTTTCGGTTTCAGAACCTTTTGAGAGTGAACAAGCTGAGGAATCACCAAGCTTGTCCAATTCCCAGTCACTTAGCTCTACACAGTTTAAGGAAAAGGAATTAACTGTGGATGACATTGATGATTTTGAAGATGACATTCTGGAGGAGGATGAAAGCCGTAGATATTCCAGGAGAGTTCTGAACGATGCATCTGATGTCGTTTTGGGATTGCCTTCATTTACTACTGGTATATGTGGTTTCGTATCATCTTTTCTTTTATTGTTCTCCCATTTTTGGTTTTTTATTGTCGAATACTTGTCTTCATCTTATTTGTTTCCTGCTCATGATTCTCAATATTGGAAGCCTTATGAATGGATTTGAACTAGTCAGCTCCTGCTCTTGTATTTAGCTTGTTTCTTTTGAATGCATTCAGTTCATGTGGTTTGATTTGATTTTTTTTCTGGTTCATATAGACATTAGACAGTTCTCAACTCTCAGTTTTATATCATATACAATATAATTCTCTAGCCATTTGGTTTGACTATAAGTTTAATGGAATTGTAAAGGAATCACATCCCCTTTAATTCATGTCTGTTTATTTTTCGCTGCAGGTATTACAGACGATGATCTCCGTGAAACTGCTTATGAGATCCTCCTTGCAGCTGCTGGAGCTTCAGGGTATCTTTTGTTCTCCATTGTATTCTACATACTGTTATATGATTAAATAATCTGTTTTTGAGTTTCATGCACTCTTGTTGCACAAACAGGGGGCTCATTGTTCCATCGAAGGAAAAAAAGAAGGATAAGAAATCTAGATTGATGAAGAAGCTAGGGCGAAGTAAGAGTGAAAATGTTGTGCAGTCACAAAATTCTCATGGTTTAGTTGGTCTGTTGGAGACTATGCGTGTCCAGATGGAGGTACATCATATTGTATCCTACTTTATTTGCCTAATTTGAAAAGAAGATAGCTATCCAACTCATTCAAACATATATCTCTAACAAAGTTCTTTAAGTTTGTCGATTTAATTCATTACTAGCATCTTAAAGTTTTGTCATCTTGTTCTACCTATAATTGTCAACCACGTACTCTGGAATTAAAATCTGACATCGTATAAGTTGTAAAGCCATCTATAGGGAAAATGAACTAGTTTCTAAGCCACATTAATTCTATATGGAAACTTAACTAGTTTATAAGCCAAGTGAGCTACTCCTCCCATTACCATTTGGTTTTGGGATGGCCCTCGCTTAGGTGGCACCTAGGCTCACCTTCTAATGGCGTGCTTCACCTCCATGGGACTGCACCACGTTACTCGAATCTGTAAATCTAATATGGTATCAGAGCAGGCTTGATCTAGGACTTGTGGTGACGAGCCTGATCTGGGACGGTCAGACAAGGACCCCCTAGTTATGGAACATGTTGGAATATCACTTCTGAGTTGCCTCACGTCGATTCTATAGGGAAATTGTGCCTAATTTATAAGCCAAGTGGGCTACTCCTCCCGTTGCCATTTGGTTTTGGGATAGAACCTCAGGTGGCACGTAGGCTCACCCTTTAAAGGCGTCCTTCACCTCTATGGAGTATGGACTGTACCCCTTCCTCGAATCTATAAATCTAATATTAACCTTACAATGTTCTCTTTCATTTTTGTTTTCAAGATTTTACATTACAGATTTGAATATCCCATGTTGTTCCCAACATAAATTTAACCTCTGTTATTAATCTGAATTTGTATTCATCTCAATGATTCTAAGAACAGACGGAACTAAGAGCTAATCAAATCCTTTAATTGTTGATAGTACATATACTTTCCTAAAAATACTAATCTATATTTACACAATATACCCCAACAACCTCCATTTCCTGTACTGCTTGAATTTATGCTATTCTGGGTTGACAAAGTCATGGAATCAAAGACAGCTGTTATTATAATGTTCTAATGGCCTTAGTGCACTTTCATTTTATAGAAAGAGGTGTGTGAAAATAGGTTATGTGTTTTTCATGATACACAGGGATATGTTTATACTGCAGAAGAAGATTTAAAATGAAGGAAAATAGAATAAAATCTCTCTTAATCTAGCTATACAAAATATTATATTTTTCTAATTTACATTGAATCAGATCTGATTTCCAGTAGGATCATATCATACATCTCAGCATCTTCAACAGAATCATATCATATATTTGAACACAGTTCATATTCATTTTACGGCATCAGTTATATGCTTTTTTGTCTTTTTGTGGCTTGCTTTGTCATTGGTATTTGGTGTTGACAGATTTCGGAGGAAATGGACATCAGAACAAGACGAGCACTTCTCAATGCCATGGTTGGGAAAGTTGGAAAAAGAATGGATACTCTGTTGATCCCATTGGAGTTGCTATGTTGCATATCACGTACGGAATTTTCAGACAAGAAGTCTTACATTAAATGGCAGAAAAGACAAGTGAGCATTCACTACTTGCTTTTGTAAATCTTCCACCATCATCCTTCTTTCACCCATACCTTCTTTTTTTCACTTTTCGTGTTTCTCCATATACATTTTTTGAAGTTGGGACTTTTAAGGTTTGATGTGAGACATCAGGAAGCACTGCTGTTGAGCAATTAGTTATATTCCTTAACGTAAAATTGTGATCAGTGATATAGATAATGCATATAATGAATGCATATTTGTTCATAGAGTGTAGATTTTAGTACCTAAGTTTTAATTCTTTTTTAATTTGGTGTCAGTTCAGTTAAATATGTTGGAAGAAGGACTTGTAAATCACCCCGTTGTAGGATTTGGAGAATCTGGGAGAAAAGCAAGTGATCTGAAGGTTCTTCTGGGAAAGATTGAGGAATCTGAGGTTTGTTTGAGTCCATTTTACAGTTTTACTCTTAGAAATTTTCCGTCCTTATGTGAATATCCATCTACTATGGAGAAACTTAATTTTATCCGCAGGGTCCATATGTGCTTCACTTCTACATGCAGTGCCCTTTCTTAATCTTAATCAATAGCATTTGCTATGTTTAAAGTAGCTTGAGAGTATCTGTCTATATGCTCATGCTGTCATGCACATGAATTTTTCTCCTTCTTTGATTATTCACAGAAAGTAATATTGCTGGTGGTCAATTTTTGACTTTATTTAATTTAATAATTGGTCTTTACGCCCATAAGGTTGGAATAGCCATTAGAGCTACATGTGGGGTAGTCTCTTAAGTAGACATTAGGGATACCTTTTGGGTTGAGCAGGATTGTTGGCTTTAAGCTTGGTCGGGAAGTTTCTTCTTGAAGTATTGGCCTAAGGCTGCCTGGGATATGTTATGAGAATTTGTCCGAGCAGTTCTCAGTTATTTTCTTAATTAATAATATTAATTATCTATTATTTTGGTTGCTCTCTTATCAAATATGCAAGTGCTAATTGTCTTCAGAGTCCAATATTGATCTTCTATATGTCTTTGTCCATGTCTCTGCTGTCTTCATATTATGTCACATTTATTTTTGTTTGACTTCACCAAGCCAAGGCTGTCACTTTAATGTGATATTCAATTAGGGTTTCAGTAATTCTTGTTGATTCTTTATTCACCACAAATTCATCTATATACACATTCAGCTGATATGAAAGTCATTCTAGACATGAAATGAATACCAGGGATGCCGCACTAGAGTTAGCAGGTTTCTTGTGTATTTTCGAGCTCAACTAAATCTTGTTTTCACCTTTTCAGTCTCTTCCGACAGCTACGGGAGATCTTCAAAGGACAGAATGCTTGAAATCTCTGAAGGATGTTGCTATTCCACTAGCAGAGAGGGCTGCGAGAGGTGATTTAACTGGCGAAATATGCCATTGGGCAGATGGTTATCACCTAAATGTCAGATTGTATGAGAAACTATTGCTCAGTGTCTTTGATGTTTTGGATGAGGGGAAGCTTACTGAGGTCAGTCGAGTAACCTGTACGTCCATCACAATTTGTGCTGGAAGTTGAGTTAGAGATTTTCAATTGTATTAAATATGTGAAACTAGTTTCTTCCTGCAGTTGCTATGCTGAATAAATAATATTATTCTTTTCTTTGTCGAGGAATAATTTTATTATATTACATATATTTTACGTTTCCTTGATAAGGGAAAGGTAGTGGACTAGAGTTGCTGCAACTTTAATGATGAGAGCATAAATGGTAGCTGTATATGTATCTTTTCAGAATGAGAATAAAAATGAAACAAGTTGCTCTCACTATCCTTTGGAATAACACAACTATTTTATGCCAGGAAGTGGAAGAAATGTTGGAGCTTTTCAAGTCAACTTGGCGTATTCTAGGAATCACAGAAACTATTCATCATATGTGCTATGCATGGGTGTTATTTCGGCAGGTAGATATCTGATGGAAGAAATAGTATTCAATTGAATTCCAATTTTTTTTGCTATAAAGGGTTTGGGGATTATCCAACAAATTTTCTTTTGTGTGCTTTCTCTTACTCTCAGTTGGTTTTTTTATCCTGCATTTGTTGTTTCCATTTGACGCTTTTCTGGTTTTTTTTCATCTGAATCTTTTTTTTTCTTTATGTGTGTTGTGTACTTGCTGTTGGTTACCAGTACATCTTTTCTGTTCTTACGCATAGAGAAACTAAAAATTATAATTTGCTGGACCTGGTATTCTGGTTTTGGAAATGCTATTTTGTTGTTTGAATAGGGATGTTGTTTTAAACTGGTCTAGCCGTCTAGAGCATGCTGTCACATGGTCTGTGGCTGCTACTTCCGTAAAATGGATATGATGTTAGCAATATGTTGTGCTGCATGATTAACCATGGTCCTTTGTGCAGTTTGTCATCACAGGCGAGCAAGATATTCTGCAGCATGCTATTGACCAGTTGAAGAGAATACCTTTGAAGGAGCAACGGGGCCCACAGGAAAGGTTGCACCTGAAAAGCTTGAGTTGCAGATTTCAGAATGAGAAGGGTCTTCAGGAGTTGACTTTCTTGCAATCATTCCTATTACCTATTAAAAAATGGGCAGATACACGACTGACCGATTACCATCTCCATTTTCCTGAGGTATTTCAGAAACTAATTTTTGTTACGGACCTTACGGTTTTGGATGATTGATACATTTACCACTGAAGATGCCCATATATATAGACTTAGGGCCTTTAGTATATACTATAATATACTTAACACCCCCTTCAAACTCAAGGTGGAGGTGGGGAATTCGAAGCATTGAGTTTGAGCAAGTGAAGGCAATGTTGTTCTCTAGTTTGTGCTTTGGTGAGTTGCAGTAAAGGAAGCATCGACACCAATGTGTTTTGTACGCTCATGTTTCACAGGATCATTTGACTATTTGTATAGCTCCAATATTGTCACAAAGAAGAGGTGTAGGAGCATCACATGAAATACCAAAATCAACTAACCATCGCAGCTATATAATTTTTGAAGTGGTAGTGACAAGTGTTCGAAGTTTTGCCTCTGTGCTAGAGCGCGATGCAACGGCCAACTTCTTGGACTTCCATGTAAGAGGAGAAGAATCAAGAAAAAATGCAATAACTAGTGAAGTTGAAGCGGACTCATAAAACAAACAGATGATGTGCCCCTTAAATTGTTGGGTTCGGAGAAAAATGTCGGTTATTGTTCGCTAATTGAATCTTAAGAAATTAATCCTGAAGCGTAATGGATCTAAAGCTTCGATCAAGATCTTACGTTTTTGTATATGCCGACTTTGTACAGACATATGCTATGCTATGGGCCTGGATGAACGGTTCTGAGATGTTTTTCAATCTCTTCGTTCACCTCGACTCGCCTTGTCCGTCCCGTCTACTACTCGTCGGCTTCACGTCTAGCGCATCGTTGGTCTGCCCTGCGTCGCGTCACCAATTGGTGTCGTGCGTCGTGTGTTTGCGTCGCCGATCGACCCTCAATATAATGTATTCTATTGTAGTCCTTAACCTCGGTTGGGCGTCGTGTGGGCGAAGATCTCCCAAATCGTGTGTCGGAACTCCCTCTCTATCTTGCTTTCATTATTCTCTTTGTGGAAAAATAATGATTCCTAGCCTTAAGATGAGTTACCCACATGTTTATTTATAGACAACACGTACCTAAGGAGGGTAGGATTAGGACTCCTAATAGGTCAAGAAATACCTAGCATGTGGTCCACTCTATTCTTGGGCCATTAATAATAAATAATTCCACTAAGTATTTATTATTGTACTTTTTCTTCACCCCAATTGTATGGGATCCACTATCGTCGTTTTATCTCCCGTGTCAAAGATATAACGTCTGTTAATTAATTTAATTAGTGATAATTTAACTAATTAACTTCTTGAACATTCGAGACTAGTACCACATAATCCTTATTATTTTGCCGCAATTTAATCCACGTGCCAGGGTTTGGCATAATAAACTTTTTGAGCTCATCTCACGACGTTGTCAACCCAACGTACTAGACCGAATATAATTAACAGCACAACATGTAAATAATAATATTTCCAACTCACGGAGTTATTGACCTAGCGGAATAAGTCTCACCCTTTGATGAATCAAAGAAATAAGTATATACACGTGTCCGTTATTATCAGACGAATTAAGAGTACGACCGATATCATGAGATCTAGTTTATTTACTGGGTCAATATAACATAAACTTCTCCTCCAGGGTCCGTTCAATGCACACAAAGTGTACTAGTATAATTCATTAGTTAAGATAAACTAACTCAAATTACCATACCGATAGGTTTGTCCATTGCATCTCGGTTATGAACTTTATTTATATTGCAAAATAACTCAAATTATACTATAATCATATCGATAACTTAGGAACATTGGAGATATTAGGCACTGAAAAACGTGAATTGCATAGAGAACTCATGAGTGATATGACGAGAAATGCCATCAGCTGTCTGAATAGAAGTACCATCAGTGACCACCTTGCCTTGTAGATCAGATGTCACATGAAAAGATAGGCGCCCTTGAATTGAGGAGCAAAGGCGAGGCGGTGGCTGCACAGACGGACCCTTTATAGCATAACCACGAGCCTGAGCAACACAATGTGCATGATAGTCAACCAACTTTTCTGGATGCTGAGTAAAAACAATTCTCGGCACTGTGACCTGTCTTCCCGCAATACTTACAAGATTTTGTAGAGCCACCTTTATGTGCATTAAGTCGATGTTGTTTGAGGAGCTGCTAGACATTATGCAATATTGAGTAGCAATTAACAAAAAATGGAGACGAGTCTCTTCAGCAATCAAAGCAATCAAATCATATAATGCTTGTGCCATGGTTATAGTACAAGAGTTATGAAGCAACTGTGTATGAATGGACTCAAATTCTGCTCTGACTCCCATGACAAAATATAAATAAAAGAACTTCTCAACAAATTATGTGTCGAACACTCCATCGCCCAACATTGAGGCACCATAGAGATGAATGGTCCCATCAAACGATCAAAAGCCGATGGACATTTCGTTTTGTTCAATCACGTGAATTTGTTGAATATGTGTGCAAGAGTGCACCATTATCTTGAACGTAGCGTAGCGCTGTTGCAAATAGGATATCATCCCTTGGCTAATAATCATGGTTAACGATGGCAGTCATCACTTTCCCATCATTGATCTGCCATCAACAGCATTACTATTATTCGCCTTTCGCCCACTCCTGATAATTTTGATCGCCAAGAGATATAGCAATTGCATGAAGTTGCGACATGATTCGACGACGTATGACAATAGGTATGCCTTCACGATATGCGAACGATACACGGACAACGACGTATCAAACAGGCAGCGACGAACCGCGATGAAATATGAATGAAGGTGCTGCGACGATCAGCGTAGGATCACAAAACAAACAAGGAACAATGAACGAAATAAATTGGCGACTGTTGGGATGTATTAGAGTACACGAACACTAACACCGAAAAGTGATGGATCTGAAAAAGGGCAAAACGGACACCAAAACCTCCTCAATCACAAAATTAAATTTAAAATGCTGGCAGCAAGGCTATGGATTTCCGATCCTATGGATGTTTACCGAAAATAATTCCGACGAGCCACGTGACTCTGCGTGGGATGGCCGACAGAATACGTGTGGCTTACACGTGCGGCTTCCGGCGACGAAACTTGGCCGGTAAGACTATCCCGAGACGGCGAATTAACTGGTGTGGAAGGTGAGATTCGGGGAAATAAAAAATATTTGTATGGTTGTGATACCATGTTACCAAACTAAGGGTTTTAGATGATTGGTTGATGCATTCACTGATGGAGATGCCCATATAGACTTAGTGCCTTAAGTATATATATGGGCTGCTAGGGCTATAATATACTTAACAATTTTTAGCATTTATATGTTTCAGTCTATACGATTATTAGATGAATTGAATTAATTTTTATAACACACGTGCATATTTGGTGCTACCATTTGATTTATTTAAGATCAGTTATCTTAGTTATGTAGTTTCATGAATTAAGGCTTCACATCAATGCATAGTTGTAAGTAATATAACATATTTTTAATTGCTTGGACTTGTTTCAATGTTTTAAACAATGTTCGGATCCTTTTAATGGTGATCCCTTGAGGGTTGCCACCTTTGATTTGACTTTGAGTGATGTTCTGCTTAACATGCGTTTGTTCAATTTCAATTCCAAACTTAATGTGAATGTGAGACATCTGAAATTATGCACCTAATGCCAATTTTGGCCTTATCAGTACCTCACATGTTTGTAATAAATTGGTTTGTTGCCACAGCCTCAAAGGGTTACATTTTCACTTTCTAGTACCCGGTAGCTCATATCCTCTCTGCTGTGAGAACGATATTATAATTTTGGACTTTTATTTTTCTGGTTATATGACATGATAAAATTATAGGTGATATTGATTATCATAAATTACATGAATTCAGAACACTTTTCTATTTGTATAATTGTTTACTTTATTTTGCGTGTTTTGTTCTTTTTAGGGGTCAAAAATGATGGAGAATGCAGTAGTTGTTGCCATGGTTGCTCGGAGGCTTCTTCTTGAAGAACCTGAGTCGGTATTATAATTTTTTTGGTTAATTTTGTTTTTATTTGTGCCTGTGGAGATCTCTTAGATGTTATGACCTCGTATGTTTTTGGCCTAAATGCAGATAGCTAAAAGTTTGTAAACAAGTCAACCTTATCTCGTAATTTATAATTTGGTTTAATCCACTATTTGATTCTAATTTGAGTTTGAAATTTCAAATTTTAAACAATTGCTACCATGGCAATTAATTATGCACATAGTGGGGAAGAAACACCAAAAGAGTTCTGAATGAAGTAAAATATATTATTTTTATTTTTTTTTTCTGGAAATTTAAATGCGGCAAAAATTGATTATCGCAACTGAATAAGGGAGCAGTTGAGTTGTTTTTTACAGTACAAAATATATTTTGAAACTAACCTTACAGCTTATTGTCAATGCAGTCTGCATCTCCCACAGACAAAGAGCAAATAGAGATATATGTGTCATCTTCAGTCAAGCTCGCCTTTGCCAGAGTAAGTGGTTTAAACTAATTGTAGTAGTTCAACTTCTTAAAAAACGCTGCTGATTTTGATGTTGATAATAGAGGATTCTTACTCTGATGGGTGTGTTTGGTTCAATTGAGGAGAAAAGAAAGGGAGGGGATATGATGTGAATAATTTTACCTTGTTTGGTTTGGTTATAGTTAGGGAAAAGAAAAGAAATATATAACCCTTGCATTGGACAAAATGCGGAGGGGAGGGAAAATAAATATAATGTGATAATAGAAAAGTTATATGAATATGCAAGAGCAGCAGATAGCTGCAAGTGGCTTCCCCTCCCAATCCTCCCGATTTTGGAGGGGAGCCACTTTTACTGTTTGGTGGGAATCAATCACCAATTTTTCATTTTCCCTAGCTTTCAAGAATAATTTTGAAAATCCCCTCCCTCCCCCTCCAAAACCATTGAACCAAGCACATAGGAAAGATGCCATGTATAATTCTCAAAATCGTGTAATTAATCAGTCGATGATGGTATACTAAGAAGGGGAAATGTGAGGCTTGTGAAACTAATGGAGAATAAGTGCTGTAGTTTTATTTCAATATCTGTTGGTTTCAGGGCTTTAAGAATTTCATCTGGCTTCAATCAGCTAAGTTTAGTTATTACTTTTAATCTATAGCTTGTAGTGACAGTGTTTTCTATATTCAAACAATAAAAACACATCGGATGACAGCATTTGCCTGGCTCTCCTGCCACCAAAAATGATGCGCAGTTTCCTGATCCTAATGCCTTTCGGAACAATCAGTGTAATTGGCCAGATGCATCCAGATAATCTCACTAATCTGTTGTCTTATAGCTTTTAGTCTTCCAGACTGCCTCGGTGTTAATAGTTTCAATATCTCATTTTGCTTTTTTATCCATTTTCACCTGGTCATCACTTGCATCAAATAAACCCAGGAATTTTGGAAACTGATACTTGTTGCCTCTCATTATCTTATATATTTATTTATGGCTGGCGGTAGGAGTGAAAAAGGTTTCTATCTCCTCAATTGAATTTTTAGATGAACTTCCTTACTATCTTAATTTCATGCTTTGCAGATCACACAGGACATCGAAATGTTGTCTGACACAACGAATGAACATCCTTTGGCCTTACTTGCTGAACATACAAAAAAGCTAATGAAAAAAGATATGTGTGTGTATTTACCCATACTATCCTTGCGGCTTCCCAACGCAAGTGCTGTTTCTGCATCTCTCATTCACAAGTTCTATGGCATGAAACTGGTAAGCTGTAGTTTTTGCATCTTTAACCATATTGAGTAATATAATGTCTAATTTTTATTTTATTTTTTTTTTTATTTGAAATTTTCAGAGACCTTTTCTTGATAGTGCTGAACATCTCACTGAGGATGTTGTATCTGTGTTTCCGGCTGCTGATGATCTCGAGAAAGATTTGGTAGCTGTCATCACATCTACATGTGAAGAGGGAGCTGCAGAGGCTTATCTCAAGAAACTAAACATGTATAAGGTGAGGGGTTCGCTGACTCATCCACTAGTTTGCTATCCTTTAGTGAATACAATCATTTTTTTCTTATTATACATTTACTTTTATTCAGATTGAGACCATCTCTGGAACGCTGGTGTTGCGATGGGTCAATTCGCAACTTGCCAGAATATCGGCCTGGGTTGAACGAGTTCTTCAACAGGAGGTAGTAATTTAGCGTACAATTGGTCTACCAAGGAAATAAGAGTGTTGTTTCTTAACAGTGAGACCACAACTTGTGTTTGAATTCTTGTATTTGTCAGTCTCCTAATTTTTCTGTTAACAAATTCTTTCCTTTTTTTTCCTTATTTTATTAATTTCTAATTTGACTTAATAGAGGTGTACACTGATTATGGAGTTGAAAAGTGTCAGTAAAGATGAAGTTTAACAATTTAGGATATGAACATAGTGTGACTTGTGCTACCGTCTTTCGATTAACATTATTGCTCTGTCAGTGTAGCAAAGTTACTTTAAACTATCGTGTTTGTCCAAACAACATCATGAAGTGAGTCTGATATAGGCATATTTGCTTCCTATTTAAGTGAAATACTATTTCAATTGTAAGTCATCCTTTGCTAAAAGTAGCAAGTAGAGATTGTTGTATCCATTTGTTAAAAATATAATTTTGTTTGAAAAGACATGCTTCTTATGTAATCAGATACCAGTTGCTGGAATTCTGTTGCTCTCTTTTGTGAGATATTTTGGATGATCTCGCCAGCTACTTATAATTTTTTTAGTCATAGACTCATATTAGTTCTGCAAATTTTGTTTATTTCCTTTTTGTCTGCAATTTCTGTCAGACATGGGTGTCCGTCTCAGCTCAGCAAAGGCATGGAAGTTCAATTGTTGAGGTCTACAGGATTGTGGAGGAGGTTGATTTGATTTCTCCTATTTTTTATTCTCTTCCATTTTTTTTTTCCTTCAGATTCTTTCGAGAACTTTTTTTTTGGAGTCTAATGCTGGATTAATTTGCAAAGTGTTATAGCCTTCAGTTATGAGGTGTTAAATCATGTTACAAAAAGTGAAGAACTGACATAATTGTTTCAGACAAGACTTCACTGCAGAGATTAATTAATCTTGTTGATTGTTGAACCTAGACCGTGTAGGCACCAACGTTTTAGTTTTTCTTTGCAGACAGTTGATCAATTCTTTGCTCTTACTGTTCCAATGAGGCCGACAGAGTTAAGTAGCCTCTTCCGTGGTATTGATAATGCATTCCAAGTATATACCAAGCATGTTCTTGACAGCCTAGGTATTATCTCAACCCGTATTTGATGCCAATAGTTCTCTGTTTGCTATATGTTTTACTCCCTCGTCGAAACTATAATTACACATTTTGTTTTGTTCTTAAATTAGTATGAAAGAATTCACCTTCACACTACATGACCACGCTCGTGGTGCTGGTGGTAATATTGATTTGCACCATTATCTACTTTTCTTCCATGTTTCTTTTCTTTGCTTGGTATTTGGATTATTAGTTATGTACGCACGAATTTATACATATATATATATATGTGTGTGTGTGTGTGTGTGTGTGTCTGTTCAAGTTTAAAAATTTTAATAAATTATCCATGCATGTATTGTAAGGTGCATACTTTTTCACCTGCTCTTTTGAATCTGTTGGTTACAAAATGTACTGAAGTTCACTCACTGATGAAGATGATATAATCGACAAAGATTAGTGCATTGTTCTCTAGTATCTTTTTGAAGTCAGCAGACGTGACCCACTACTATACTTTGATTCCATCTTATGATTTCTTCGTTTTGCCCAACTTAGTTTGGTGGATAATAAAGTTAGGAAATTACTGTAACCAATATTTTGGAATTTGTATGAACTAACTTGTATGGTTTGCATCCTGCTTTTTCTTGCTAAGATTCTTGAATACCGTAAATTAGGTCAATATGGTTGTTTTGTATATTTCTTCAAGCCTTGATTGCATAATGTAAGTTCCCACTCAAGTGCTGTATTTCGTAATTGTGGCTAATCTTGTTTATGTGACTAGTAAGTCCTAACATATAACTTGCAACTTCTTTCCTGATTTGCTGCAACTTTGATGTCCTACAGCTGACAAGGCGGACATAATCCCCCCTGTGCCGACTCTCACGCGATATAGAAAAGAAGGTGGGATTAAAGCTTTCGTGAAGAAGGAACTAACAGATACAAGGCTGCCTGATGTTCGAAAGTCAAGTGATATCAATGTTTCAACCACACAAACGCTTTGTATTCAATTGAATACCCTTTATGTGAGTTCAAGCTGCATTTGTACATCCTTTATGCCTTTGTTTCTTATGAATATGTTCTTTCAATTCACCAAATAAACATGGCTTGATTTCGTATGGCTCTTGTTATACTAGTTGTCAAGTCTCATGATCAGTATTAACATAATCTTTCTGTCTCAGTATGCGATTACACACTTGAATAAATTGGAAGATAGCATTTGGGAGAGATGGAATAAAAAAAATCACATTCAGCCTCAGCCAACAAGTAAGTAATGCATCACGAACATATTTTCTTTGGGACAAGAAAATTCGTTTCCTGTTTCGTATGCCGCCCCAAGAACATATTGAAGGTCCCAAATCCTTCGCCTGGAAATTTGCTTGAAGAAAAGTTTTTAGCTATTCGTTTCCTGTTTCGTACGACTTCCACCCCAAGAAAATATTGAAGGTCCCAAATCCTTCGCCTGGAAATTTGCTTGAAGAAAAGTTTTTAGCTTCGAAATCCCCGTACTGTTACCACCAATGATCACGATATCTAACGAGTAGGATGAACCCATTCTTAAATTGTATATAAAAAAATGAATGATCTGACTTACAGCTTATCATTCCGAACTTCAAGACAACTTGTTTAAATCTGTCAAATTACGCCATAGGACTCTACTTCAAAACATATAAGGATTTCTTAAGACGACAAACCTTCCCTCGCTCCCCCAAAAGCAACAAAACCAAACAGTTTTTCCATATAAACTTCATCATTATGCTCCACATAAACTTCCTTATTAAAAAAACCCTGAGTGAAAGCATTTTTAATGTCTAGCCCGGTGGAGGGGCCAATTGGCTTCCAATGAGATTGTAATCAACTGGTGTAAGCAGGCGACAGGGGGAAATTGTCTCAAAATAATTAGTACCGATTGTCTGAGAGTAGCCTTTCACGGTCAGACGTGCTCTCAGTCGATCCAAAGGTCATCCTAACTTACTATGAACACCCATTTACTGCAAATTGTCGTTGGAAAGAAGTCTACTAGTGTCCAAGTGTCATTGTGATCAAGGGCATTCATTTTTTTTCAACCATGGAAGCCGCCAACCAAAATGTGGCAAAGCCTCACGACCAATTTTAGGTACATGTACAAGGATAGAATAGTCAAATTTGGCAATAAAAGTAAGAATGATAATAAGAAATGACTGAAGCAGTAAGGTATGCAAAGGTAATGCAAGTACGTTTACCTCTCTGAAGCCTTTCCAAAGAGCTATAGGGAGATCACAACAGGAAGGAGCTTGCACTAGAACATTAGTAGGTGGCGGCTCTTTCGACATAGCAGTTGATGGGATGAATTTGCACGCCTTATTGAGTAAAGCCTATGAAGGAGACACATAATGGGGAATAAAGAAAAAAAAAAATGTAGTCCTCCTCCTGTGATGTAGAAGTAGTGGTCGGGTAGAATAGAACATTTTCCAGAAAGTAACATATGTAGACACAAGGTATCGGTCAAGAGCAAGAGAGAAGCAAAGCTACCCTTTCTGTACACAAGAATGTTCTAGCAAAATACATTTCAGAGACTTCGGATGTAACTTAATAATGTGGGGTCCTGTATTTCGAACAAAAGTATGTACTTCCAAAAACATGAGGTGATAGGGAAAGGAGGTTTGCGAAAGCACAAGACTGAAAAAGGAGTTTCACCATGAAGCACAACTGAAGGCATGCGATTAATCAAAAGATATGCACTAGAAACAACAACAGCCAAAAAATGTTTGGGTAGACCTTGGAGAAAAAAAAAAAAATGGCAACCCTAATCTTGCTTTGATACCATTTGATCAGAAGAAATTTTGTATAGTTCTCAATGACTCAAAGGGTACAAAGAGCGCTATTTATATACACGACTAAGAGAAATCCTAATCAAATTCCTTAATTGTTGATAATATATATCCTTTTCAAAAAGACTTTCTTATTTACATAATACACAAACAATTTGATTAGCTCACAAACTACTACTATTCCCATGTGGATCTTCTTCCGTATATAATTCTTGAAAAACATTAATTGTATGATTTTTTAGGTCCTTCGGATCCTCCAACCACACTTCAGTATTATCTCTTAGCCTTACTCTATTGTGCTTCCGTCTTGATATGAGCTCAAGTGAAAAGACTTGTGTTTTCATCACCCTGGGCTAGCCCTTTTTGTCGTGATTTTTTGAAACCAGAGCAAACTCTTCTTGCTCAACGATTTCATCTATTGCCTCTGAGCTTTTTGCCAACTATCTAGATACAATTGCTCCATAACTATCCGGAAAGCTATAAATGCACATTCCAAGATTATTCGTTTTAATGAAATGTTATATTTTTGTCAAAGATGACAAGATTCATGCTTTTCTTCCTTATGCAGAAAGATCCGCTGAAGATAGCTTGAGAAAATCTATTCGGAAGGACAGTTTTGATGGAAGCAGAAAAGATATCAATGCAGCTATTGACCAAATCTGTGAATTTACTGGTGTGTCCACTGAGCTTTTTTTTTTTTTTGTCAAGTTTGTAAGTGATAAACTTATATGCTGACAATAATTTGATTTATTACTTACAGGAACTAAAACAATTTTCTGGGATTTGAGAGAGCCATTCATTGACGGCCTCTATAAGCCGAGTGTCCCTCTGTCTAGGTTGGAAACCCTGGTTGAGCCTCTTGACATGGTATGACATAGCATTGTCTGAAATCGAGCCCAAACATTTTGTTTGTTTTTCATTTAACGATTTATTGGCCAAGACATTCCTTGAAACTTATGTTCATCTGAGGCTAGACACACCATAAGAGGGCGAGCCTAGGTGCACCTTAGTGAGGTTCCATCCCAAATCAATTGGTGATGGAGGAGTAGCCTCTTATAAACTAGGCCCATTTACCCTATATACAATTAATGTGGGACAACTCACAAGCGATATTCTAACAGTTCCATTGATAATGTAATAATGGATGGCAGGTACTCAATCAGCTGTGTGATATCATAGTGGAGCCCCTTCGGGACCGTGTCGTGACCGGACTTCTTCAAGCATCATTGGTTTGTATCTATCGCTCTTCTTTCGAATAGTATGAGTATTTTTTTTTTTTATCATCATTTGACACCATGTCGAGATCTTCTAGGATGGCTTGATCCGTGTATTATTAGATGGAGGGCCATCACGTATGTTTACTCCAGCTGATGCTAGGCTACTGGAAGAAGATTTGGACGTTTTGAAGGTACATATCTTCCCTGAGCAATATGCAACTTGTTGCCCTCTATATTTATCATTTTCCTGTTGTGCTTGTTTTTGCAATAATAACTAGCTTTGCACAATCCCAGGAATTCTTTATTTCTGGAGGGGACGGTCTCCCTCGAGGAGTTGTGGAAAACCAAGTGGCACGTGCCCGGCAGGTGATTAAATTGCATGGCTATGAGGTTAGTGTTGTTAATATTGTTTCTTCTGTCCTGTTTAGACACCAACTGGCGAGATCAGTTGCCAAAACCAGCTGATATTAGTCTCTAGAGATTTTGCGGTATTATTGTGCATTCTTTTCGTTTCTTGCTATCTCTTTCTCCCCTTTTGAACCACGATATGATGCATGGGCTACAAATAAACATTTTTTTAGTATAAATATTATTATGTATATTTTGAAAAGGAAGTGTGCATATATACAAGGCTCTAAGGTGAAGATTTATTTTTTTATTTATTTTTTCCCGTTATAATGCGGATTGCAGACTCGGGAGCTGATAGAAGATTTGAGATCAGCAAGTGAGATGGAGATGCAAGGCGGGAGGAGTAAATTGGGTGCCGATACAAAGACACTTATAAGGATTCTCTGTCACCGGAGCGATTCAGAAGCTTCTCAGTTCCTCAAGAAACAGTACAAAATCCCAAAATCTGTGGCTTAGTATTCAACGGAAAATGTAGTGTTATCATCCTTGTGTTTTTTCTCTTTCTTGACTCGACTCAACGGAAAATGTACTGTTAATGTCCTTGTGTCTTATTCTTTTTCTCGACTCTTCCCTTCTTCCCTTTGCCCGTTTCTTATTCCTAGGAATAATGTACCTAAACAATCTATGTTTACTCTTAAACTGATTGTACCTTTGAAGATAAATGGAATACTGGTAAAAAGAAGAAAAAAAAAAAAAAAAATGTTTCAAGGGTCATTTTTTCTAATAGCAATATGCCAGCTTAGTTGCATTTAGCTCTGTTACTGTACTATTTAACCGGGATATCCAACATTTGTTATTTACATGTTTTCCCAAAACGTATTTAAACTTGTAAATAAAAAGAACACTAGCAATAGTCGTATGTGCTGGTTAAGCAAAAGATCATGTACGCTAAGACATAACCACAGTGTAAACAATCAAAACAAGTGAATCCCAAAACTTGCACAGTGATGACATTGTTCTCCACAACTGGGTTGTTAAACAACACAACGAGTTCATGTGCACAGCACAGCTGTGAAGGTGAGGGTTGGTTTGGGGACTATAAAGCCTTTAACACATAACTGTTCTCAATTATACTGCCGAATGGGCTTCTGATGACTGATTTATTGATCTGAATGTGCTTACATTTCTCCACACTCGGCAATAACGCATGCCAGTTTAGGCCGGTTGTTGGGCCCAGTGGCAACATTCTCTATCTTCCTCACGATCAAAAGACCGTCTCCCAGAACTCGCTGCATCAAAATCAGAACTGTCAGTACGAAAATTGATATTATTATTAGCCTGACTTCCGAAACTAAAAGTGTGCTGAAGTAGGAAATAAGGAGGATCATTGTTACGATAAGTATATAAGGCCTATATTTCTTGATTTTACGCTTTTGGTTAATAGGTTAAGATAAGAAACTAAATAATAAAGGGCAAGATGGATATACATACCCCAAACACCACATGTTTGTTGTCGAGCCAGTCACACTTGGCACATGTAATGAAAAACTGCCGTCCGGGGAAAAAGGGATAAATAACGAAATACCAATCAGGAGTAATGATGAATGTCAAAGTACATCACAAGGCAATATTATATAAAACATTTGAACTTTGCATAATTATATATTCTTGATTCAAGCGAAAGAGAAGTTTGTGTTCAGTGTCTCATGTTTCAAGGTATGATGTTGTGATAAGTAAATAACATTTAATCTAGGTAACATTTCAAGTGGTAACTGCTTTATCCAGTTTTCCCTGTTATATAGAGATTTCCTTCTCATAAGCAGATAAATGATGGCAACAGATTCTTCAAGAGGATATTATAAATCTTAGAGCATATAAGTTGACTGGATTACCTGACAGCCATTAGAATTAGCACCACTATTTGCCTGCAAAAGGAAGAAAACAAATGAATCACAACTATAGATTGCATATAAATTGACTGGATTACTTAAACAGAACTTGCTTCTCCGAGAATACAGGTGCAATATTTGGAGGGGGCAAGAATAAAACAACAATGGGTCACTAGCATCATTTGATAACAAACAACTAGTCACTAACAAGTCCCTCCTAGACTCAAGAATCAGAGAGGTAATTTAAAACTTTTAGATAAACAGAGTGGTAAGATCGTAACACGATGTTAATTATTTTTTATACATTGGAGAGTTCCTAAATGATCATATTTGGAGATGTCAGACATTTTTTACCTCACCCTCACAGTATCTATCTTGATATTGATTGACTTTCAATGATAAAAGTCATAACACACTCACATGTCAACCACATAAGACACAGGAATTTGATAAGAGTGGATTAACATTCAAATTACACAATGTTCAATTTCCATCATTCATAATATTCATATGAATGGTAACTCAACTAAATGTAGACTATATCGCTATCTGAACTTTATTTATTGCAATATATATAGCATACCATTGATAGTAGACCAGGACCTGTGTGCTTTGCTGTAAAATTTTCATCATCAAATTTACTTCCATATATGGACACACACCCACTGCCATCACCCTACAATGTGAGTAAATATCAGCTAAAAGCCTTAGAGACTATGTCCAGAAAAGTATGATAGGCAGCGTAAGGAACCTTTAGAAAGTCACCAGCTTGAATCATAAAATCCTTAATTACTCTGTGGAACTGGCACCCCTTGTAACCAACAGGTAGTCCAGCTTTTCTGCAAATCCGAACAGTCAAAATAAACAGACAAATGTACTAACAATCCAGTATGATAAAAAACAAACTTAGACTCCTTATGATTTGGTGAAACAAGGATGATGTAAACATTTAACGAGAACTATCCAAAATGCAAAATGAATAAACCATTATTGCATTAAGCTCCAGCCTTTGATGATGGAGCTATGAGAACAATCAGAAAATGTATCTTTTAACATGAACCAACAGGGAGAGATCCAAACATAGATTTAGAGATTGCTTGGAGTCTTGGACTGTGACTCTCCTTTTTTCCAAACATAGATTTAGAGATTTAGATATTCACCACACACAGAGACTCCTTAGAATACTTGTTATTTACGCCGACATCAGGAATTTGGGTTCATAACTACTCATCAATGGTTATCTTGAACTGGAAAACATTCACTTATACCAAACAAAGTCGGAATATATGATTCTATCGAATATGGAAGTACATTGAATAAAGTTGTACAATGTCATTCATGGCACTATGACTTATTGTGTAGAGACTGACTGATAAAACTGGATATAAGTACCCAACCTTCATGACATTGGTCTAGGTATTCAATTTACCTGGAACAGCTCTAATCAATGCTTTCCAATACATCAAAATAGTAAAAGCAGTTCATTTATATCAAATAAATTGAAATATATATTAAAAAATGACGTTTTGGAGGAGCAAGTTGGTAAAGTATGGACTGAGAACCTTGGAATGAATTGACCCACCATACATGATGCTATATTACATTTGATTCTACTTTCAACGTCTTCCATGTTCTAACCTAACACAAACACTTTCAGGGAAATTCTTTTCCTCCAACTGTCTTGTAATTATCTAGTCTAAAGAGCAATATAATAGCTGGTTTATAACATCACAAATTTTGAGATTTGCAGAAATCTCGTTTACAATATTTATCACAATGAAAACTCTATATATATTTATTCATGAACAGTCTAATAAGAATCAACACAAGGCCAAGATATAAAATAGAAACTCGAAATTTAGAAAGTTACAAACCTGTATTCCCCAGTGCAGAATTGCCTAGAAAAAACACAAATATAAATATCAGCAAGTTAATGTACCACATAAAGAGACCAGAATAAACACAAAGAATAGTGCATGAAATATTTGACAGGACTCTATAACGAGAACGTATTTGAAGAAAATCAAACCCAAGGGAATGTAGGTATAAACCATTCATTTACGGTGTAAATGAGCTCCAACACACACACACACACACACACACACACACACACACACACACACACACACACACACACAATCAACCCACACAGAAACAAACACGCATATATGTGCATCACCAATGTCTTATAGGTCTTAACCCCTTGTTCACTGAAAAGAGACAATCTCATCAACTCCACTGCACACAACCTTAGATGTGAAGAACCTAAGTTTAAGCTTAAAGAACAGAACTAAGTTGATCATACAAATACGAGCATGCAATGTAAGATTCAACTGTCACGGAGCAAGTAATATTACCTGAAATTTTCAGCGGTTTTAGGAGCAATATCGGCAAAGAGCTCCATCTTGATACGGCCAGCAGGTATATTGCCGATGGTTATGTCGAAGAACACGATCGGGTTTTTAGGGTTTGGTGGCCGCTGGTGCCACTCCACCGCGGCTCCGCCGCCGCCGCCTACGGACGCCATAGCTCGGAATCTCTTTTAATTGGGCTTTCGGGGCTCCTCTTCTCTATATGTCCTAGACGGCACAATTTCACTTTTGTCCCCATATATATGAGTATGACATTAGTCGAAGCTACGCAAGAATAACTATATTAAATAATAATTTATATTAAATAACTAGTACAATACCCGTGTATTACACGGGTGCTTGTTAAAAAATTATTCTTAAATTTTAAAATTAATGAGAAAATTATATTAAATTTAGTTTATTTTTTTACAAAAAAATATATTACTATATATTTTAGAATGATATGTGTTACTTATGACTTACATGTGTTATATTATATTATAAATTATATCATATAACTACTTTAAATATAAATATATTAGTTGATAAATAATTTTATTTTTCTAATTAATATTAAAAATAATTTTATTATTGTTATAAAGATAAATATAAATTATTTTTTATACATACAATATAGATGTTAAATCGAAGCTCATCAAAAGAAGATTAATTTGATATATATTACATATGTAAAACTGATAAAAAATACAAAAGTTATTAACTTTTAAAATATATATACAATTTAATAGTTATAATAAGGAATGATATTAAAATACAATTAATACATGTAACGTGACCATAAATAATCAATATGTTTATGGTAATCCGAACCTAATTATTTTTTGTTTGAAATTAAATTAAAATTTACTCAAGCCTAATAACGAAGCATGTAATTTTGCCACATAAGATTCCGAAGCACCAGAAGCAACCACGTAGGCTCAGCGCATTCTGTATTAATATATAGGGGGGATAATTTTAAATTAAATTGAAGGTAAACAATATTAATAATTATTATATAATAAATATATGGCATTATTATGTATGGAGAGTTGTGATAGGCTTGGCGAGTCAACGTAAAACCTAGTCATTCTATGGAGATGAAACACAATAGATATTCGTTGGGGCGTAACCCTCTTAGCGACGCGCCATATCGGAACCCGGGTATGGTGTCAAATGGGCAAGGGCCGGGTCGTCTCCCCCTCAGGGACGCGCCATGTCGTGGTTTGGGCATGGTGTTAAGTGAGCAAGGACCGGGTCGTCATTTCCTTAGTGGCGCGCTACATCGGCGCCCGGGTGTAGTGGAAAATGAGCAAGGGTCTTCGCATCTCTCTCAACGGGTGCGAAGGGCAAGGAAGCTAGTCGAACCAACTAGGGTCCGGATAGGTAGTTGGAATGTATGGTCCCTAACGGGTAAGCTACGTGAGCTAGTCGATGCAGCTTTTAGGAGGCGTGTTAATATCCTATGCGTCCAGGAGACTAAATGGAAGGGGCAGAAGGAGAAGGAAGTGGAGGATACTGGCTTCAAGCTTTGGTTCACTGGGGCTTCATCAAGTAGGAATGGTGTAGGCATCCTGATCGATAAGAGCCTTAAGGATGGAGTTGTAGATGTTAGGAGGCAAGGCGACTGGATTATCCTAGTCTGATTGGTAGTTGGGGATGTGACCATGAATGTGATCAGTGCCTATGCCCCTCAGGTAGGTCTTAGTGAGAGCGCCAAGAGGCAATTCTGGGAAGATCTGGACACCTTGGTCAGTACGGTGCCTGCCAGCGAGAAGCTCTTCGTAGGAGGAGACCTCAACGGACATGTGGGCGCGACTAATATAGGATTCGAGAGAGTGCACGGAGGATTTGGGTATGGTAGTAGGAATGAAGAGGGGGAGGGTGTGTTGGACTTTGCGTTGGCCTACGACTTGTTGATAGCGAACACCCTCTTTAGGAAGAGGGAACCTCACCTAGTGACCTTTCATAGTGGACGTCACTCAAGTCAGATCGACTTTATCCTTGCAAGGAGGGAGGATAGACGCGCTTGCGTAGATTGCAAGGTGATACCTGGGGAGTGTGTTGTCCCCCAGCATAAGCTGGTGGTGGCGGACTTTCGATTCCGAGTACGTGTCCACTGGGACAAATGTGCCAAGACCGTGAGAACGAAGTGGTGGAAGCTTAAAGGTGAAGTGGCGCAGACGTTTAGGGATAGGATGCTAGGCGAGGGGCCTTGGGAAGAAGGAGAAGATGCAGATGACATGTGGCTAAAGATGGCAACATGTGTACGGAAGGTGGCTGCAGAAGTACTTGGTGTGAGTAGGGGAGGCAAGCATGATGCGAAAGACACTTGGTGGTGGAATGACGAGGTGCAAAGGGCTATTCAAGAGAAGAAAGAGTGTTTCAAGCGTCTCCACCTCGACAAGAGTGCAACCAACATTGAGAGCTATAAAATAGCGAGAAGGGCTGCAAAGCGTGCCGTGAGTGTAGCGAAGTGTCAGGCCTATGATGACCTCTATCAGCGCCTAGGCACGAAGGAGGGGGAGAAGGACATTTATAAGATAGCTAGGATTCGGGAGAGGAAGACAAGGGACATCAACCAAATCAAATGCATCAATGATGAGTCGGATCGGCCACTGGTGAAGGATGGGGAGATCAAGGACAGATGGCGTGAGTACTTCGACAAATTGTTTAATGGAGAGAGTGAGGGTCATACCCTAGAGTTGGTTGACTCATTTGAGGATACCAATAGATGCTTGGTGAGGAGAATCCGAGAGGCAGAGATCGGAGAGGCTATGAAGAAAATGAAGGGAGGTAAAGCAATGGGCCCTGATGGTATTCCTATTGAGGTGTGGCGATGTTTGGGCGCCAGAGCGTTAGTATGGTTAACTAAGCTTTTTAACCTCATCTTTCGG